TTTTCTGTATAAATAAAGTAGCTACGGAATTCTAAGAATATTTATAGTACAGAGAAAATAAATAATTGCCCATTTAAATTGAACTTAAATAAAAATTTGAGTAGTTATGTATCGGTACGTAATAATCTTGCCTGTCCAATAACTAACCGATCGTCCAGTTATCAGGCAAGTCGTCATCTAATGTGCTTATTCGTATGTCCGAGTGTCATAGCCACAATACGTGCTCGAGTTTTTGTGCTTGTTTTCTGTATGAAATTCGTAAGTAAGTATATTAAGCATATATATTACTTGCAGCGATTGTAGATAACATATTTTTTCAAGTTTTATGCATTTTTTTTATTTGCTTTTATTGACATATAGTATGCATAACCTCAAATTTTTAATTATATTTGAAATGATTTTTTTACATTACATTTTGGAATTTTATGCATTTTTTTTGTTTATTTTTATTGATACACAGTATATATAATCTTTTTTACGTTATTTGTTAATTTATTATTTGCATTCTTTATTGATAGAAAACTCAAAATGGGCAAGGATACAAAGAGAAAGAATAAAGCAAAAGCAATATATAAAAAGATATATAGTCAAAAAAATGTAAATGATGCATTAAAAGAAATAGAAAAGGGGATGTCTACACGAAAAGCTGCTGATGCATTTCAAGTGCCAAGAAGTACTTTGTACGCAAAGCAAAAAAGGATAATTCCAGTTGAAGGTGTTAGAGGACCTAATACTTATTTAACAGCTGAAGAAGAAAAATTACTTGTTGATTGGATTTTCTATTGTAGCGAAAGAGGTTTCCCTGTTTCAAAATCTCAACTTCTTCAATGCGTACAGAAACTTATCACTGAGCTAGAAAGAAAAATTCCGTTCAAGGATAATAAGTCAGGCAGACACTGGTGGGAAAGTTTTTGTCATAGACATCCAGATGTGACTCCAAGAATTGCTCAAAATTTAACAATGAATCGAGCATCAACAACAGAAGATGTTTTAAAAAACTGGTTTAATGAAGTAAAAAAACATTTAGAAAAGTTAAATCTGCTGTATATCCATCCATCAAGAGTGTTTAACTTAGATGAAAGTGCATTTTTTTTAATTCCAAAGGCAGATAGTGTATTGGCTCGTAAAGGATCGCTGTTTATAAAGTTGTACATGGTGATAAGAAAGAAAGTATAACTGTTTTGTTTACAGTAAATGCTAAAGGCACTATGTTACCACCCATGATCCTTTTTTGGAATGAAAGGACACCAGCGATTGTTACAAACAGTCTACCTCCAGGATGGATCACTGAAAATACTGAAAAAGGATGGATGACAGCAGATAGTTTTTACAATTATATAACTACAAAATTCTATTCATGGCTCGTAAAGAACAACATTCAATTTCCAGTAGTTTTATATGTAGATGTTCATGCATCGCATTTGACCTTGGCTTTGTCACAATTTTGTAAAGCAAACTAGATAGAGCTTATCGCTTTATATCCCAACGCAACACACATACTGCAACCACTTGATGTGGCAGTGTTTCATCCATTGAAATCAAAGTGGAAGAAAACTGTTGATGAATGGAGAATTGACCATGGAGCTGAAAAGTTAAAAAAAGAAAAATTTGCTCCACTTTTAAAACAAGCTTTGGATTCAATGCCTAATTTAACAAATATTATTAAACATGGTGTCGCGTCCGATGCGTATGCATAAGCTCAAAACCTTATATTTCTTTTTTCTCTTTCCTTTCGAATACGTTTCGGTTTCTCTTTCTTTTCCCCTTTTTACAATCCGCTCAAACACGGGTATTGTGCTATACATTTAATATTATATAAAGTAATAGGTTAATATTATAATACCAGTTTGATATTATGTTGTACATTCAATGTTATATAAAGTAATGATTTAACGTTATAATATTCGTTGATTCAATATTATAATAGTTTAGCGTTGTAGTATTCATTGATATTGTGTTATACATTCAATATTATATAAAATAATGGTTTAACGTTATAGTATTCTTTGATATTATACATTTAATATTACATAAAGTAATAGTTTAATATTATAATATCAGTTCGACATTATGTTATACACTCAATATTATATAAAATAATAGTTTAGCGTTGTAGTATTCATTGATATTGAGTTATACATCCAATATTATATAAGGTAATGATTTAATATTATAATATCAGATTGATATTATGTTATACACTTAACGTTATATAAAATAATAGTTTAATTTTATAATATTGGTTTGATATTACGTTACATATTTGATATTATATAAAATAACAGTTTAATATTATAATAATAATTTGATATTATAATCTTCATTTAAACTCCATGATTGCGAAAGGCGAGACAAGCGAGCGTAATTCACGTGCTCCGCGCGCGCTCACGTTCGGCGCGCGTGAACGGATAATGGGACTTCTCGGAAAACGCGAATTCGGGAATCGAACTATGGATCAAAGGGCAATCCACCACTTTCTAATTTTTCCGAGAATTTTCATTTCCCCTCGCCCCTTTTGCCACCAACCTACTAGTATATAAGAGCGCCGATTTCGATGAGACTTCGCTCATTTTCGTATCGCGCTGCCCTCGGCGACGATACACCAGGGACAAGAGCATCGCTATAAGCGCAACTCTCCATTAAAGGTTTATTATTAGAATCTTCTTTTTCTCTGCCATAGTAGCACTCTTATTTCCCTTTTCGGTCAGTTACTATCCACACTTCCTAAATCGCGCTGACAAAGGCGTATGTCCTCCTTCACCCTTGTTACATTATCGTCTTGGACAGGTATACTCCCACCTTCCACATTCCTTAAGTCGCGCTTGCCAAAGGCGTACGTTCCTTCTTATTCTTTGTTACATGGTCTTTTCAGCCAGGCGTACTCCCACCTTCCACACTCCTTAAATCGCGCCTACCCAAGGCGTATGCCCTTTCTCACCTTTATCGTATTACCTCTCCTATCGCATGTATATATATCTCGCTCTTATTACGCTATCCTTTCGGTCACGCACATATATATATATATATATATATATATAACGTACGATCTTTCGCATGACTACCAATCAACAAAAAGGGGGGCATCAAATTAATCAACCACTATCGCGCACGCGTACAATCAGGCCGCGATGGAGCAACCCAAGCGCAGGTAGGCTCTAAAGGACTTTAGTATACAAGTACATAATCCGCCACCCGCACAAAAATTAATTAATTATTGAAGGGCACGACGATCCAGGGCTGGGGGCCGGAAACGGGCTCTGAGGCGACTACGGAAGGAGCTATTCCAACCGGGGAACTTCGACTTCCTGCCTCGACGGGCATCCGGGGTATTTCACGTACTCCCCCGAAAACCCTCCTTCTCCAGGGCCCTTTGCGCCCTCGGAAAAGACACGCAAGGCCCCTCCTCCACGAGTCCCGTCACCCCCTCGTAGGCCCCCTTCTCCTCCGCGGGCTGATGCGTACGCCCCTGTTCGGGTATCGACCCGCCCCTTAAGGGTAGGTCGGCAGGCTCCTCCGCGCGCCAGCAACCCAGCACCAAAGGCACAGCCCCGTATACGGGAAATACAAGTGGTTAACTACATAATAAAGAAGTTATAACAAATTACGTTCTGCTGTCTCTCTCTCTTTTCCCATCATTTCCCTATCATTAAGACACAAAATGATGATATTCACGGCCAGTGTAAGGGTTCCGCTCGGCCCACTTTAAACTAGCCATCTCTCTGATTGTGTCTCCTATTTCTCTTATTATCCTAGACCAATCCTAACAAATCCCCACCCCTGCGTCCTTCTATTTTCCCAAATCCAGGACGCAACAATGGATTTCAAACTTGTGGTCTTTCACCATTTTCTTCAGACGCTGTTGACTTCAATGTTTTTAATAAAAAGAAGAAAAAAATTGCAGAGTCTACTGAGTGTGTGGATCAAGATTTAACAGATAGCAATGAACAAGAGGAAGCTACGAAACATCTTAAATATTTCGAACATCGATTGAGTTCTGATGATCTTCAAGATTTTAAAAATGCTTTATCAAGTGGAAGCTTAAAAATTTTTAACAGTGCCAATGAGGGACTTTTTAAGTACTGGCTAGACATGAAGCGTCTATCTGGTGAATCTCTAAAACTCTAAATAATTAGAGTTAATATTTTTGATATTTAACATTAATTATACAAATTTGTTTACTATTCAATATAAAAATTTTATAATAAATTTTATAATTTATATTTTATTGGATATTTTGTCACTTATTGACATATTGTAATTACATAGTTATCCGTGTTAATTTAGGAGAGAATGTTAGTAATAATGTGAGTACAAATGAAAAGGACTCCAGAGTGGACAAAAGTGAAATGTCGATTGAAGTTGTAAACTCAGCGTCTTGTCCTGTAGTATCAGACATGAATGTAGATATTAGCCAGTTAGAAATAGTTTTCTTATCAGAAGAAAATGAAAACATTTTAATCCCGGAGACAGAAACTTTGAGTACAGCACGGGGTGACGTAAATACTTCAAAAATTTGTGATCCAACATGTAGAGCTGATATAGAGCCTTTTGAAGATCTTGGTCAACATGACTTCTCTGAAGGTTTGTAAACTATTATTACGTAAAATGTTTTATGTAAATATGTTAACAAAGTAAATTTTATTATACTTTATTATGTTTTTACAGTTGATAAAAATGTTGAAAATAAAATGAAATGTGATACAAAAAAACTCGAGGACTCAAATTTCAATGAACAAATTTTGAATGTCACTGCAATTGAAAGTAATGTGACAGTTCATGAAAAAATCATAAATGAAGTAGAAAGCAATGAAAAAGTGTTAGAAGAACTCAAAGAGAATTTAAATTATAATAAACCAGTTTTCAATATCAGTGCAATTGAAGGTAATGTAAACTACTTGCAAAAAATGATGTAAAATAAATTAAATTTTTAAAAAGTATCATTTATATTACAGAATTAAAAAATAATAATGATCAAGCAAACGATAAAACTCATCAAGGCATGTATAAAAGACTAACTTCCCAATATTTTTAAATAAATAATATGATTTTTAATAACAATACACTTTTTGCAAATCTTGATATTGAATGCAATAAAAAGATCCCCGCGCCTTTCAAAAAAGCTCTGATTTGGCCTGAAAAGATAAAAAAAAAAGAAAACAGGGTTGTCTAAAAAGGTCTCCACTGTGTTGACGTCAGACGAGTGGCAACAACATCATTTAAAAATACAAGAAGAAAAATTAAGAAAGCAAAAAGAAGTAGAAAATAGAAAAAAGCGTAGAGAAGAAGCAAAGAAAAGAAAAGTTGAAGAAATGGAAGCTAAAAGGGCTGCAGCCGAAGAAAAGAAAAAGCTGGATGAAGAAATAAAAAAATTGTTGGCAAAGAAGAAATTATTAAACATAAAAAAAGAAAGTTCATAATTAAATATTAGTTTGTCTGCAAAATTTAGTTTGTAACAAATACCTTAATTTAAAAAAAATTAATAATAAAGTAATTTTTCAGATTGTAAAACCCGAAAATTGATTTTTTAATATAAAATTTTCAATTTATAATAAAGTATTTAGTAGCTATTATAGGCCGGTTCTGCCCCGGGAGCTCCGAGGGGGGGTGAGGGGCAAGGGGATCCGCGGGTGGTCCGCGGGGGGTCC